TCCCTACTGTCAAACCCAGATCTTCCCTAAGCACATGAAGTGAGAAGCAAATGAGAAACACTAACATTGAAATAAACGTACCTGTAGTAACTTGCATATAGGGAAATTACTACAACTATCCACAGACCTCTAGTTCATGACCCATATACTTCATTCAGAATTCAGTTTACCTTTTTTGAAAATTCTGTAAGTTTCAGCACGGGTATTCCATAAACACACTACTAAACATCACTTCTGTACCTACTTATATATAGCCCCTTCAGTGGCAACAGCGTTTAGTAATGCTAACCCCAGAATCCAGCAGTACTCAGTATGTGGGTACACTCCAGATACCCCTCACAAAACAACCATGTGCTAGTTAACCCCCCACTCATGACTAGGACCAAGTGTTTTTGTCAGGAGTCCTGCGATCTTCCAAAAATTTATAGGCAGATAAGGCACAGATCAGTCTGGCCCAGTTTCATCTCCTGGAGAGTGGGGGCCACACTAATAGTGTGTGACAGGATGAGTGAGGGGGCAAGAGGGATTCTGGGTAAGCAGTTTGGGCCCCATTTAGTTAAGGCTGGTTAAAAAACAGGACCCATTTGAAATGGGAAAGTGATGCAGAGTTCAGCTGTGGAAGAGGAGGAATTAAAAACGTATTCAATGTAGTGGCTCATCATGACTGGGAAAACACTAAGCGCTATGGGGGGACTGAGCATAATGGACACTATCATATATCTTATTCAGATGAGTTATACTAACCTGTTCTTGTGGTAGGTTTTTGTAAGTATGGTTGCCCAGTATGGTCACGCATTTTATACTAATGCTCAGTGTTGATTGCATTTAACTTTTATAGTTGGTTTCCATTACTGAGCACGTGCTGCTTGGGCAGCAGGTTAATGACAGACCATGTATTTAATGAGGTTTCCTTGTATGGAAGTGTAAGACTAAATGCTTTTTTTCTCCATGCTGATGGGGTAGGAACCTCATCTTGTATTCAAGTAAATATGGTACATGTAGTAAAGCTTGTCACAGTGTGACTGTATCTTTGCTATTTCCTGATGCACCTTCTCTGCCCACCTTTACAAAGACTAAGGAACCCAAAACATGTATTCAATGGATCTCTTCCATTTCCAACAGATTTCCAGGATACAGTAGCTCTGTTCTCACTTTCTTGGCCAATCTCATGCAGTTATGGAATGGATAAAGTTGCTGGAATTAGGCTTCCAAATTAAATTTCCTGGTCACAGCTCAAGCAGTGAGAGAGTACTGAGATACCACTATGCTAGTGATTCACTGCAACCTGTTCATCCCATATATTCACATGGCTGTGCAGTTCTCTCAATAATCCATGAATATT